GAACTACATAGACTACGCACCCCAGCTCTGAACGGTTCTGACGTATACAAGGCGCTAGGGCCCAACCCAATTTCCGGTTCCCACGAACCGTCGAAACGGCTCTGCGCGGGATGTTCCCAGGCACTCTTCTCCGTCCTTCAGGCTTGGTCACGCATTTGCTCAAGAAAGAACAGTTTGGGTCAGGCCATAGGTGTCTTGCAAGCCTGTCTCAGTATTCCTGGTGCGTTCGAGGAGTCAGATCTGTCTTTGCGCCAGCCAGCGAAAGGTTTCGTTGCTGAGGACCGCCTCACGACCGTGCGAGTGGCTCGTGCTGACCTTCGTGACACACGGGAAAGCAAAGTATTCAGCACAATCATGGCGCGAGGAGGTTGGCATGCGCTCGTGGAAGTTCTCCACATCCGAGCCATTACCCGAAAGCAGGACGAGCGGCGGACCCAGCTCCCAAAGACGCTGGATCGCGGGATGATTGAATAATGAGCAGGTAATGGCTAGCAATAAGTCCGTGAGAAAGCGTTAGCTCAATCATTGAAGAATTGTGATAACAAATACTGAGTCATCTCCCACATCACTGTTGTGCGTGGGGTTCTTGCTTTTGCTGGCGCTGCGCGCCGCCCTAGCCCTAAACCTTAAACCCTAAAAACTAAACCCCAAACGCCAAACCCCAAACCCTAAACCCTAAAAACTAAACCCTAAACCCTAAACCCTAAACCCTGAACCCTGAACCCTGAACCCTGAACCCTAAAGCAGCAAGCCGAGGTCGCGATGCGGAGGGCGTTCCTCTGCAGTTTGCCGAGGCCAGGAGGGTTCCGTGGACATCGGCTTAGGTGCTTCGGAAAGAAGTCCCAAACCCCAAACCCCAAACCCCAAACCCCAAACCCCAAACCCCAAACCCCAAACCCCAAACCCCAAACCCCAAACCCCAAACCCCAAACCCCAAACCCTAAACCCTAAACCCTAAACCCTAAACCCTAAGAAGGTAGTCCACACTAAGCACGTGCTTCAGGAAGCGGCTGCTATCCTCCAGCGTGCTTCGGAAACTGCCCGGAAAGGTGGGAAGGGCCCTTGAGCTCAGTTTCAGCTTCGTTTCAGCTGGTTTAGGGTTTGGGGTTTAGGGTTCAGCGTTTAGGGTTCAGGGCTTTAAAAAAAACCTTGCCAGCACTGCGACAGAGTTGAAACCAGCTGAATGAAAGTTCAAGCAGACATCATCTCCGGCGATCTTGCTGATGAACGCGGCGCCAAGAAGTGTGAGGAAATGGATGAAGACCATGAGAAGCTACCCTCGCACGCGTAGTTGTAATCAAGACAGCAGCCGAAATGAAGAGCTGCGGATTCAGGTAAAGATGGCAAGGGAAAGGGAAAGCGCGGACAGAAGGGTACGTGCCCAAGCTCTGGCCGCAAATGCCTTGGGTTGATATCGTCATGCTTTTGGCTGTCGAATATCGTATGAGGCTCTTCTAGGCAAAGTGAGAAGGAGACCCAGGACAAGGTGAGTCTACACAAAGCGCTTTTACAAGCACTCATGGCTCTCTAGGAATGCCGCGGAGCTTCCATGAGCTCTAGATTGCAGATGCCTGGAGGAGAGTCCCGATGCTTTGGTGCCTGGACGGGACGGTGACGAGACTCTTGCCTGATTCCCGTTCGGAAGTTGGTGCAAGCACCTGAGACTTTACGGTAAACTGTCGGGCCATATAAGTGCAGATGCCTAGCTTGGCGCACGTTTCGAATGCATCATGGTGAAACACTGGTGTTGCACAAGGACACCGGCCGTTCGCAACGACTTGGCGGCTTCGTTTGCTGCTCTGCTTTCAGGGGCGACGTGTTGTGACTCCGGCAGTGTTCACAACCGCTGTGCCGAACATCACCGTGCATGCCGAGTCATTCCGATCGATACAACACGTCAAGGGTTTTCAGCCCACTGCCACGGTTCACTGTCATCTGATGAGTAGGGGAGGGACAGACGCGCACATCTGTACTCAATCACGTGGTGTAAAGATGTGCACAGTTGGTGTGATGACAGTGCCGTACTGTAAGGCCTTGGGCATCACTTACAATATGGGAGCATGGCACACTAAGCGAAGCGCAGAGCAGCATGACGAGATGGTCCTTCAAGCATTGCAACAAGATGGCTTTACAGGGCTGGGCGCAGGCTTGAGCCTTTCTTCAACATCAACTAGACTTGAATAGTCAATGCATTGTTCAGCTTTACAGTCTGGGCTGGCCTGTGCGCGTTCTTGGGTTTCGGGTCGACCATCGTGCGCCAGGTCATGATCGACCATGCAACGTGTCGTGAATGCGCTGCTGATCATTGGGTTGCCAAAGGATGCCGACGGCACAGGCAGCTGGCTCATAGGCGCATGCAATGACCCATGTGCGTTTTGCTGCTGTAAGTCAGTATTGTGGGACTGTCAACGTCGGCGAAAGACTGCAATTGCATTGGCCCCTGGCTGAATCCTGTCTTCAATGGCTTGTCACTTGTCACGGCTTGCCGTATGGGTACTTGGTGCATGATCGCAATTCCAACAAGCCATTCTGCCGAAATGCCTCACAGCGAGAAAGACAAAACAACATGTGTCGACAACGGCAGCTTCCCACAGTATGCTCGTTGCGCTGGATCGCTGGGTGCAGCTGAAAGCAGTTGCCAAGCACTGCTCCTACTAACAGAGTGTTTTGTTTGTAGGCGGCTGCCCCTGGACCAGCAGGTTGTATACTTGATACCTGGCATCTCATCATCCAAGGCTGAATGTACAACCTGCCTACTAAAATTAGGCTGTGAGGGGGCAGTGGCCCTCTGCCAACCATCCCGTGGTCCTATTAAGCGAATGCTGAGGCCCAAAAGGTTACTCAACGCGTTTGGCTTGTACAGATCTTCTCCATGGCACGACTGTGCCCAAGGCATCCACCAAAGACCTTTGCGACCGTGGGCTGTTGTTTTGCTTTCTGAACTGTATGAGGTGTGTGAACTTGGTGACTTTTTGGTTGCATTGCCTTGGGCATCGCTCGGGCTTAGCTTTCAATCCCAGGAGGCATGGAAGCCACAGCCCGCTTTGGCCACGCCCCAGCCAACTTCCCCAGACAGCGAAGGCAAGAGGCTGCAGCTTTCACACTTCCATTGGAGCAAGCAAGCCTGTGTACAGCAGGGGTTCTTCGACTGCACTTGGACTCCAGGGGCCGCAGGGATGGAGAGAAGGTACGTGCATGATGTTTGCAAGTGACTCGCCAGTGCATGCTCTCAAAAGCCCTATCATGGTTCACCTTTGGCAGATGCACTCGCGGCACATTCTCAAAGCTGAGGCGAATGGGCGAATGTATCGTCGTGTGAAGACACTTTCTGTTCACGCCTCCAATGAGCTAGTTGTTTCAAAATGGGCTGGCATGCAGCAAATAAGATGCCAAAATGTGCCAAGCACTTCGTTTCAGGCGGATTTGTTCAAGACGCATCTTGGTTTAAACTACGATCCAAGCTCCCCGCCTGGATCCACTCGTAGAAGCAGCGTGTAAACTGTCGGTGCTTCTGGCGCCCTCTTGGACTTCATGCGCAGTAAGAGGGCGTGCAAGTTGTCCCAACTCATGATCCGCGTAGTCAGAACACCCCAAACCTTCAGCATCCGGTGGCCGTTGCACCATGTGGCGCCTCGGCCGGGCTGCCGCAGCATTGGGAAGAGCACCAGGCGGCTTGCGCTTTCGATACTTGGGCTTGCAAGGTGCAAAGGAGCTCGAACTGCTCTCACATGTTGTCACATCAGCCGTTTTTTCTTTGTGCCGGAATCCAGAAGCCGGAAGATAATGAGGCACAGATATTTGTCTTACGAACCTAGAGAAATGCCGTTTCTTGCTGCATTCCATGTCGAACGTGACTGCTGCTCCCAGCGTACTTGCCAGCGCAGCAGTACGACACTGAACCATCAAGCTGAAGTTACCCCATTCCGATTCCAGATGAAGCTAAGCTGCACCGTCATCGTAGCCTGAACACAGACAAAATGGCAAAACTTGCCCAATCCGCATCAGTCCACAGCCTGATCAATGTTTTGCAATCTGTCGCCCTCAACCATGGCATGCTAACTTCTATTCTAAAACATTCAGGCCATAAAACCCAACCCCAAAACAACCTCATCTTGTCAAGAGGATATCACGAGAATGAAGGGGGTCGTTGATCGGAAGGTGTACCATACCTACGCTGTATAGTCCTACAGATTCTTCCACAGTTTCACTAGTCGGCAGAGTTTCCTGATGAAGCCCTTCGAAACACTCCAGGTGAATGATGTGTATGTGCTTTCTAGATGTCACGAGGTACACAGGTTTACACAAAGGGACGATACAGCACTGGGGCACCTGTTAGCACGATGGTATCACAGCTGCCCTACCTGCGGTGCACAGTCAGTGCTCAGGACTGCAAGCGTTCGCAGCGGAGGCGCGGCCATGAATGGCAAAACGCATTCTGTCAGTGGCTGATCAACCTTTCTGTTATATTGTTTCGAAACATCTTTGCGCGTTTATGAGCATCCGAAAGATGTGGGAGGAGGATGAGAAGACGTTGACAACAGAAGTGCCAACAGAGATCTGAACGGGTTCGAGGAAGCTACGAAAACCTGTAGAGAACTGAGCAGCGAAAGTGGGTGAAAGCACGCAGACGCCCTGCAGGGTCTTCTACGAAAGGGGGGAGTTTGGCAGCGGAACCAGACACACTTTAAATGACAAAAAACAGGACGTGGGGGCCAGAGGGTGCGACAGAAGATTGGATGTAAGATATGTGAGAGCGTTCCTAGTAACCCTAAACCCTAAACCCTAAACCCTAAACCCTAAACCCTAAACCCTAAACCCTAAACCCCAACGTATGGTAGCACTGCGTAGAGCTCAGGCTGCTGAGGCGTCGAAGCTGCGGCCCAGGCTGGGATACTTGGGCACCTTCCTGTCGCAAAGGTTCTCAGAACTGAATTCGGAGATATCTCGTGAAACATCCGATGGAACACCATGAGCTGTCATGCAATGAGTCATGAAACGTCATGAGACCACGGCCCTGCTTCATCTTCCGCGAGGCCAGCAGGGAAGCGGAAAGAGTTGGTGACAGCCGGAAGGGTGCGACCCTCGGCCACGGAGCCAAAGAGCCTCAGTCGAGCGCGCATCGCAGCTCCTTATCACAGTGTCAGTTTTGTCAGGTACTCGGCGCTGCTGTAGGCGGTGCTGGAGTTGCCTCTTGTCCCAGGGACTTAGTGGCTTAGTGCTTGAGATTGAGCCGCCCACACTCGGAGCAACTCAAAAGTCAGGCTTATGCAGCATCAGACAGCGTGCGTGGGCCCGTCGACGAAGCCGTCAAGAAGCTCACGGAAGCTTTTGAGGAGCGTACGGGAACCCTAAACCCTGAACCCTGAACCAAAAAACCCTAAACCGGGAATGTAGGGGATCCTGAGCAAAGGCTTAATTAGAGTTGCCTCTGCCGTTTTTATTTTTGAGTTTTTCAAAGCTCCAAAAACAGGACCGCCAGCGCTCCACTTAGTGCCACGTAGCCATGTGGCCAGCACGAATCTGATAATCTGCACGATGCCCAAACTGGATGACCTGGCCATGACCGGCCTAACAGAGCCTCGAGGCTCGATTCTTCTGCGGGGCTCCCAGTGGGGTTACGCTTACATCTGTTTGCTACTGCTATTTGCATAAGAGCCCCAAAAGAAAAATCAATAATCCCCAAATTACCCTCAAGGGGAAGAACATGTTTCTGTTATTATTCTTTTTGGGGGTTCATGAGCAAACTGTAGTTTAACATTGCGATCTGCTTGAGCCCGCACATTGAGATGGGCTCGGCGCAGTCAAACCCTGCGACATCGTGCGACAGCACGACAATCAGCCCTGCAGCGTACGGTCGCTTGCAGTGGCTGGCAGGATTTCAACGACACCTCGCGCGAGTTCTTCGAGAACGCGGGAGATCGTGTTCTGGGAAAGCGACAGGCAGTGGCAGGCCTGCAGAAGGTTCAAGCAACTTTCCCCCGCGATGGAAAGGAGCCATGGCTCCTGGACCGCCAGACCATGAAGTATGATGAGATGCTCCCCACGCTGGTGCTTGATTTGGACAAGGCAGCTTGGAAAGCCTCATTGGTTTTGCTCGAGCGCGAGCTGTTTTGTCAACATCGAAGCTGCAGGTGATACTTCATCTTCATCATGAAAGCAAGCAGGCGCGGAATGCTCGATGTCACCAATGCTGCAATCAAGCTACTGATCAGTTGATTCAACATTGTGATTCCAGGGCTGGCAAGTCGTGAAACGACCCTTCGCAGACCAGTTCTTCAAGGACCGTCCAGATCAAGTTCGAAACTGTGAAGCTTCTGTTCCAACGGCACATCCCGCTCGCATTCCACTGGCATGACACCCTGTTTACACTCCCCTGCCCAAGGATCCCAACCAAATTTGCAGGCCATAGACCCTCTTACTTGGAGCTGCATGGTACGTATGAGCAAATTAGAACTGTACTTATCACCCACTTATAAGCCCCTTAAGTGCCCTATTTTGGTTATAAGTGCAGTTATAAGTACATTTATCATTGGTTAATATTACAGGGGTTAGAAGAGATGAAGTACGGCGGTGCGATAAACAATGTCCAAATGCGGACCTCCTCGTTCTAAGGCGTTTAGAAAGGCCTAAGGAGCTGCTCAAGTTGCTGGTGTTGAGCCAGCCAGGGTGCATTGAAAGACGCAAAGCTTTTCAGCAGCTGCCACCCAAAGACCAATAAGTACGCCCGTATAGGTACACCCTTTAGGAAACACACACACACACACACACACACACACACACACACACACACACACACACACACACACACACACACACACACACACACACACACACACACCACACACACACCACACACACACACACACACACACACACACACACACACACACACACACACACACACACACACACACACACACACACACACACACACACACACACACACACACACACACACACACACACACACACACACACACACACACACACACACACACACACACACACACACACACACACACACACCCACACACACACACACACACACACACACACACACACACACACACACACACACACACACACACACACACACACACACACACACACACACACACACACACACACACACACACACACACAACACACACACACACACACACACACACACACACACCACCCACACACACACACACAACACACACACACACACACACACACACACACACACACACACACACACACACACACCACACACACACACAAACACACACACACACACACACACACACACACACACACACACACACACACACACACACACACACACACACACACACACACACACACACACACACACACACACACGCGACACACAGCGGCGAGGTGATATCGACATCCAGGAAGACTGTGAGCACATAGCATTCATTTATCCTTGGTAAGTATGCTAATGACTTTATCTTGTTTCGAGATAGGGTTTGGGGCGTAGGGCTTAGGGCTTAGGGTCTAGGGTTTAGGGTATTAGGGGATAGCCCACTCGTGTCATACACCAAGAACTTGCAGCTGCGATCGATGCACGTAATGTGTCAAAGCACTTCTGTTTCTAGATCGGCGGATTTTCAACATGAGCCGCGAAAGGGTAAGATGATCAGTGTATTTAGTAGATCAGCCCATATCAAGGGACGGGTGATGAACACATGATGCAATCTCGATCATCCGGTGGTGTCGGCCACACAGAAGGTTTGCTGGTAGCTTCGGCTACACGTCTCTCTTCACTTCAAAGATTGGTATCGAATCCAGTTTAGAAAATCGCATTGGAACCCTAAACCCTAAACCCTAAACCCTAAACCCTAAACCCTAAACCCTAAACCCTAAACCCTAAACCCTAAACCCCAAGCCCACAGGAAATATGCCACTACTACGAGCTGGTGATCTTCTCTGATGACGTGTTTCCAGCTACGCCCTCAGACTGGTCCCTTGTGCGCGATGTGTGTCTGTTGCGTGGAACGTTGTGGACTAGGGTGTAGACCCTAAACCCTAAACCCTCAACCCTAAACCCTAAACCCTAAACCCTAAACCCTAAACCCTAGGTGCAGGGTGAATTGTTCAAGAACAGTTCGAGAGCGTGGTTATCCAAGGTGGCCTTGGACATTGTCTCGAAGTGGAATCTTCCGGTGCCTTCCTCAGCAAGAGAAGTCTTCCTAGGTAGGATAAGGGGGACCCTTGAAAGGGAACCCTTCTTAACCTTCTTGTGTCTCTATTAAACAGGGACCTTATTCAGAGGGTCTATATCCCCAAGGGTCCCCGTAATCCTATCCCCTAAGTCTCTGGAAGTGCCCATGTCTACCCCAGCGATGTCTTGCGAAGATCTCGGGCGTCCTCCACCGAGACTTCTGCAAGAAGATCCTCGGCAGCAACGGGATGTCAACTTCAAGACCGCTTGACTTCAAAAGTAATCAGTGAATGAACCCCAAACCCTAAACCCAAAACTCGAAACCCTAAACCCTTAACCCTAAACCCCATCCTCCGAATTGCATCCTTCCCTAGTGCCACCCTCCTAGTCATGCAGAGCGGCGCCGAGGAAGCGGAACCATTTCGTGAAGGACGCTCCCTGCGCCACCCTGTGCAGATTCCGGGGATGCCCTGAGAGGGTATTTAGGGTTTAGGGTTTAGGGTTTAGGGTTTAGGGTTTAGGGTTTAGGGTTTAGGGTTTAGGGTTTAGGGACTCTGGGTGCGCCCCGAAAAGCATAAGAGTGCTACAAAGAGAGGGTTGCTTTTGGCGATGTCTGCGAGTGCACAGGCCTGAAGTCACTTCAGAAATGTGAAATTTTAGAAGTTATGTATAAAGATTCGGGGATGCAGTGTGAATGCGTGTTTGTGAATGTGTTGCGGTGGAATTTGGGAGTGTGGGAGAGATCTTGCCCAACTTTTTGCTGCCCCCTCTGTGAGCGCTTCCGAAAGCTTCGGCCCAGTGTTGGCATGGGAGGCATCATCAGTCTCGACATTTAATTTGAGTTTCCTTGTTTTGCTACCCTTGATGGCTATGATGTGCTGGGGTTGTCAGTTTCACTAGTTACTTGTTTGCATCCTGCCGCTTTCCTGTTGCCGTCGTTCGTATTTCTGAGTATAGGCTTCCTTTGTGTTTCCGGCTTTCCGTTGGTTTGTTGCATTCTTCAACTTTCCTGCTTGTTGTTGCTTTGTACTGTTACTACTGCTGCTGCTGCTGCTGCTACGGTTTTGTATCAGCTACAACGACCTTTACTTCTCGTGGTTCACGAAATGCGGCTGCGCATCTAATGCTATAGGCCCCAATCAGATTGTGTTGGTGCCAATCTTGATGACTGCCCAGTGCCATGTGCGCATGCTGGTTGCACAATGTGATTTCAATTCAAGTGAGAGCTACTGCGACAGTCAGCACAGGAATAGTGCCCGAGAATAAGTTGTAAGTATATTTCTTGAAGGTCATTGCACAACAAAGGAGTCAGAGATCATACTCATAATCTGTGCACCGGTTTTACGTGAGGACCTTTCCAAGCTGGGGCGGAGGTTGGACCGTGCCCCTTGGCCTGCGCCTAGCCAAACCAGTCTCCGGCACGACATCTCAGAGAGCAAGATACAACGGACTCACAGCATATCTGGGCCCAGACGCTCATGATCGACCACGATCCGGCAGCCTTCCAACTACAGGCAGAATCCTGGAATCTTTGCGTGGCTTGAAGGGCCACAGCAGAGCATGCGGACATGAGTAACAGCAAGGCAAATATTTAAGTTTTGCGCCTCCGATCTTTCTGCGAGTACTCATGCCGGCCTTAGCATGCAAGCACGAGCTACTGCTGAGCCGTTGTGTGTTCTCTCTTTCCAGGCAGGATCACGCTAAGCTTTTTTCCGCACATCGGTGAATTCAAGCTGACCTGCCAGCCGGCCAATGGCATCGTCATTCGGCCATTTGAGGGCGACACCAGTGACACCGTCGGAGCCTTTCGAAGCTCACACAACTGTATTTCATACATGCCTATCATACCCAGACTTGAACGCCAAGGAACTCGCAGATCTGCTGGAGTTCTTGAAGGCATCAGTGAGCCACATAATATGACCGAATATGACCTTTCTATGTGCAACATGTATCTCACCGAAGTTGCCTGTGGAACACCCGGTGGACGCCCAGAAGCCAGGCTGCCGCATGCAGCCCCACCGACCTGCGGAAGTGCAGCTGCCGCATTGCATACTACTGCATGCTGTTGCACTCTTGACTCTTGGGCATCTGAAAATGCCCCCCCCCCCCCCAAAAAAAAAAAAAAGGCTCCTTTTTCGACCTTGCTGTGGGAATTTGTAGGTGGCCTTTTTTTTTTGCGAGAGAGAGATAGAGAGCGCTGGTTTTCGTTCCCTCTCAGGAAGGGCTTCTAAGAGTCCGAATCAGAGGGCTGAGAGTACATAATTCCCTAAACCCTTAAACATCCCTTAAACCCTTAAACCCTTAAAACCCTTAAAACCCTTAAAACCCTTGAACCCTTGAACCCTTAAAACCCTTGAACCATCTTGAAGCCTTAAACCCTTAAACCCTAGAAAAGAGAAGGCCCAACATGGCTGGCCGAAGGCATGACACAAATTAAGGGCCTTCTTAAAGTGCGCAAACCGAGCTGTATTCCATTATCATATTCTTATGCTGGTATATGATTCTCATACTGTTATGTCGGTATAGTATTACTACTAATAGGAGCCACAAATCCGAATGCAGATACGTATTACGCACGCGGCAACCCACGACACGAGATCCGAACTGAAGTGTGTTATCCGTCTCTCTCGCTCTCTCTCTTGTGTCTGTCTCTCTTTGATCTCTCTCGCTCTCTCTCTCTCTCTCTGCTTGCTTGCTTGCTTGATTGCTTCCTTCCTTCCTTCCTTCCCTCCCTCCCCCGCGCCCTCCCTCCCTCCCTCTCTCCCTCCTTCCTTCCTTCCTGTCTCTCTCTCTCTCTCACATTCATTTTCCCTCTCTTTATCTTTCTCATTCTCTCTCTTTCTCTCCCCCATCCTTTCTCTCATTGTTTTTTATTCTCTCTTTCATTCTCTCTGGACCCGCCTTGTTTTTACCACCTGCGGCTTTGATTGATTTTTACCCCAAGCTTTATCTTCTAGTCCCCCATTGCCCAGCATTCCCACCCAAAATTAAGCACCACTACCCACCATTCCCACACCTGCCATTCCCACCATCCCTTGTCACACCCACCATGACCCACACCTCCCGCCACCACTCCCCAATACCCACCATTACAAATCATTACCCGCCGCTGCCCGCTATTGCCTACCATGTCCACCTTTACCCACCATTCCCACCATATTCTCACCATTACACCATTCTCACCATTACCCACCTGTGTCCGGTGGGACACCGATCGGCGGAAGCTGCGCAGAAGGGGTGGGCTCGAATCTGGATCAGTAGTGAGTAGAATTGCACCCGTCCGTGGAAGCATAGTGAAAAACTACCCCCGCGGAAGCTACTCTTGAACCACGTTGCATCTGTGGAAGGGTTCCTATGTACCTAATCGAACAAAGACCATGGCCCTTTCGCTGGGCGCCTCACGAGTTGTCCGCTTCCTCAATAAGTCACTCGGACTTTTCTCGTGCTAGCTACAGATCTGGCCCGTGCCCACGACACGGCAGGTTTGTTGAGAAGTATGGAGGCGGTGATCAGGACGTTGGCAGGCATCCAACTGGAGCAAAGGGTACGCGTTGTTACTGGGGACAGTCAGGTTCCCAAGTGCAGGTGAGTGACTAATTGTAGTAGTCTGGTGCGTGCCCAAGTTTTTGTTCAACACATCATCGGATCCTAGATGCACATCGCCTTGATTCCCTCAAGCCGTTCACGTGCGTAGACTGTCGAGCTTGGCCACGAAGTTTGTCCTGTTTACGGCTGGCTGGAGGCGCTATCTGGTACAGAAACAAGAGCAGGACAAGCTGGTGGAAAGCAGGAGATCTCTTGGAAGGCGCGGTTCCCTTCTCCGAATTTTCTCGATGTAGTGGGCCAAACACTGACCGAGCAGTCAGGGCCTTTGGCAAGAACCCATCCATCGGCAGCCAGCCTGGACAGCCGCTCGGTATGACAAAGGAAGATGAAGCACAGAGAGATGCACAAGGGACCCCTAATATAGACCTGCAGACAGTAGGATTCCTTATGATAAGGGCCCCCGATAAGGTACCCCAAATTTCGGAAACCCTAAACCCTAAGCCCTAACACCTGAAAGTCTAGAAAAGGGTTGAAGCATGAACAAGCCGCAAGCCACGGGCTCGGCAAGAGCTTTCATCATTTTCATCATGCCTTTTGCCATCCGGCTGAGCGTGTGCCTTGCGGATCTTTGCTTGCCTTGGCAAGCCAAGGTTGGGCTTTGGAAGCATGCCCCGATAGACAGACAAGATGATGCTGCGTGCACCAGTTGCGCTCAAGTGGCGCGCTGGCACTGGCAGCTGCCTGATGTCCAGTTCTCCGACAGCTTGGGGTTCCCTGTCCAGTCGCCCTCAGCCAAGTAAAACATCAGCCCTTGGCGGCCACCGTTGGCCATTGTCACGACTTTTTATCCCAGGCCGCCTGCTACGAAGCAGAGGTTAGATGCTTCAACATGCTTTTATACAGGTGCGCGCGATGCATGCACTGCGTGCGTGCTCCCTGTGCAAGTTACAGCAGCTGCAAGCTAAGAGTTGCAGATTTTGCCGCAGAGAAGCATGCCATTTCACGTTGGATAGAGTCTGAAGGCCATCAGTGCTAGCTCTGACAAAATGAGGACCGTGCATGTAGCTTTGTGCGGGTTCGTTGTGTCAGCAGCCGCTGTCGGGCAAAGTCGCTTGTAGGAAGAGCCCTAGCCTAAACCCTAAACCCGATGACAGAAGGCACTGTCAGTCCATGCGGCTCAAGCGCTTGGGCTGATTGTACAACATGGCTGAACGGTATTTGATCTCCAAGGCGCGCACGTGAAGACAAGCGAAGCCATACCAGCATGGGCTATTTGGCCGTACAATCCCCCAAACCAACCCCATAAGGGGCCTTTTTAAGGGTTATGGGGTATAATAGCCCATGCAGGTACTGCAACACATCCTGAGCCCTTTTCGCTGCTGTGGCTCGAGGCGGAGGTGCCCGAGGGCGCGGCCGTGCCTGAGCTGGTGAAGCTCCGGCAGGCACGGGACGAGAAGCTGGCAGCAGCAGCGGGCCCAAATGCTTTACTTCACGCATCACAAAATGCTTGCAATCCACGTCTGTTTAAGGAGAAGAAGCAGGCGCTCGAAGAGAAGCAGAAGCAACGCCAGGAGCGACTCAAAATCATGTCATCTCCCATCTGCCAGCTGCTGTAAGAACCGTGGACTACTTGACACATGTCAACTCTTGCGGACCACAGGAAGAGCGGGCGAAGCTGAAAGAGCGGACTGAGGCTTACGAGAAGGACAGCTATGGAAATTTGCATGAAATCAGGAATCTCCAAAATGTCACATGTCCGACGTTTAAAAAGTTCTAATTATTCTAATTTAAAAAGTTCTAATGTATTGGTAGAACAGAACATGCTGGAACTGGATCCCGAGAATTGGAATGGGCAGCAGATTCCAGGAGTATGCAGACACTGCCTCGGAGCTTGTGAAGCTCCGCCGAGAAGCGAAGCTCAATGGAAATTTCTTCGTGGAGCCTGAGGCGTTGAGAGTGCGAAGAAAACTATGGCACCCCATGCGTTTTCTACTTATTCTGTGCCTGCGCAGGCGAAGCTGCTGTTCGTCGTCCGCATTGCAGGCATCATCAAGATGAGCCCAAAGCCAAGGCGCGGTGCGAAGAGCAGAAGTTTTGAGCATGTTTCTGTGCTTGTTGTAGCTGTTGAGACTTGTTGCGTTGGAGGAAGGTGCTCCAGCTGCTTCGACTAAAGCAGCTGCACAATGGCGTCTTCCTGAAGGCCAGTCCCCGTCTGCAGGGATGTTGCGGCTGCCGTCGCACCAAGCTGCACTTAGGTGAACAAGCCTATCCTGAACATGCTGAAGCTCGTGCAGCCGTACGTGACATACGGCTACCCGTCCCTCAAGACGGTGCGTGAGCTTGTCTACAAGCGTGGCTTCGGGAAGGCCCTCGCATGTACGGCGTTCTAGGCACGAGAATACCAAAAGCGGCTTTCTTTCCTCGCAGGTGAACAAGCAGCGCCTACCCCTTGCGTCCAACGACATCATCTCGGACAACTTGGGCAAGCGCCGGCCTCGGTGACGGAGCGTGCAGCATACGAATGGGCATTTATATTATATTATATTATATTATATTATCTTATTTAATGGCTACCGCCAGTGCCGCCGACCCCTCAACCTGATGCTCCGCGCAAACCGGACAAGAACAAGGATGGCAGGCCATCTTTCGACGAATTCGCAGAGGCAGGAGGAGAGTGAGCGGTCTACGGTTTAGGGTTTAGGGTTTCGGGTTTAGGGCCTAGGGTTTAGGGCTTAGGGTCTAGGGCTTAGGGTTGAGCGTTCAGGGTTTCAAGGGCATTAGGAGGGCTTAGTCGGTAGTGTGCTGAGAGGCCATCCGCGACCGCTGTGCAATATCTGTCGGCCAAGCATCTCCTCAATTTGAACTGGAACAAGGCCACTCGAAACCCTAAACCCTAAACCCTAAACGCCTAAACCCTAAACCTTAAACCCTAAACCCCTAAACTCCTAACTCTAAAGCCCTAAGAAGCCCTAAACCCGAAACCCTAACCCCTAAACCCTAAACCCGAAATCCTAAACCCCAAACCCTAACCCTCCCTTAAAGGGTATGCATAGGGCACATATGGCATCTCACTCCCCCAGTCCGCACGAGCCAGCAGTAAGCGGTCCCCCAGACTCTGCTATAGCGGGAAGGGCGGACGGACGGGAAGAGCGGAGAGGGCGGGCGTGCACTGGGGCCCTTTAAAGTCATCTGATCGGGTCCAGAGGCATAAGGTCAATGAGCCAGTGCGGCCAGGGACGTTTAGGCCATGGGGAGGCGGAGCGGGAGGGGACCAGGCATGAAAGTGCGGCCAGGGATATCTAGGCCATGGGGAGGCGGAGCAAGCGGCAAGGGCGGAGCAAGCGGGAAGAGCGGAGAGGGCGGGCGTGCACTGGGGCCCTTTAAAGTCATCTGGGTCTAGAGGCATAAGGCCAGGGGACCAGGCATGAAAGTGGGGTGGGGGGTGGGGGGGGGGGGGGGGGGGGGGGGGGGGGGGGGGGGGGGGGGGGGGGGGGGGGGGGAAGGGGGGTAGGGGAGGGGGCGGGCACGCTGGAGCCCTTTAAAGTCAGTCTTTAAAGTCAGTCATCTGATCGAGTGGGGAAGGGGTAGTAGGGGAGGAGGATGGAGTGGAATGGTTGGGAAGGGTGGTTGGTGGTGGGAGGGTTAGGCGGGGTGGATTGGGGGTACGGTGAGAGGGGGGCCGGGGGGGAAGGCCGGGCGTGGATTGGCCCTGAAACAGTGGAATGGTTGGGAAGGGGAAGGGTAGTGGGAGGGGCAGGGGAAGGGGTTGGTGGTGAGCCATGGCGGGCGGAGCGGGCGGAAAGGGCGGGAAGGGCGGGAAGGGCGGGAAGGGCAGGAGGGCGGGAAGGGCGGGGCACGGACTGGGGCCCTTTAAAATCAGCTTAAGGTGCGGGGTTACGCCGACGCCATGGAGTCTTCACTAGCGCCTCCCCCGCTCAAAGCTGGGGTCGGCGGATATTATATTATATTATATTTTATTATATTATATTATATTATATTATATTATATTATATTGCTTTGTATTATGTTATAATGTTATAGTATGTTATAATGTTGTATTATATTGTATATACTATACATCGTTATATTATATATAAGTATACACAATGCATCCATCTTCAGGTATGGCATCCATGGAATGGAGGACATCATCCATGAGATTTACACGGTTGGCCCCAGCTTCAAGCAGGTGGGCTTCCCTGTGCTGAGATGTGCGAAGCCACTTAAGCTTGTTTGCTTGATGATGCCAAGGGAGTTGTATCCCCTCTGTCTGCAGGCCTCCAACTTCTTGTGGCCATTCAAGCTGAGCTCGCCCAAGGGTGGGTTCATCAACAAGCGCTCGGATCTTACAGATGCCATGCTGCAGCAGACTTTGCTGTGTACTGTAGTCGGTATGCTGGCGGAGGTCACGGCTTTTGCGAAGCACGGGGAGGTGACTGGGGAAATCGGGAGGACAGCTTTTGTACTGACAAGCGATGGGGCAGGCAGGGAGGCAGCTTGAGTGCAGGAGCTGATCAACGACCTCTTGAAGCGCATGAACTGAGCTTTGACCTTGGAGCCACCCCCGTCGCTGGAGATCAAAAGAATACAGCGGGTGAAGGAAGAGGCCGATCCCCTACATCTAGCGACCAAATGCTGCGCCCGGCTGGTATTGGGGGCATCCATATCACTCATCACGAGAGCTAGCTCCCTTGCAGCGTTCAAGAGTCGCCGTTTACCAGCCAATCTCACAAGGGTTCAGGTGGACTGCGGTCCGTAAGTAGTACGGACATTCAGGGTAATTACTCTTCTTGCACCCTTAAAGTTTCAGCTCATGTGGGTCTGAAGTGTTCGCACGAACGACAGCTGCGCGCGTCCGAACTGAACCACCCACAGTCTCCAGTTTCAAGTTGTCTGTCGCAGCTGGTTCTAGCGGCTCGAGCCGGCTGGACATCGGCCATGGCTGAGCGGTACCTGATCTCCAAGGCACTTTGCCAAAGAAACTTATGCACCCTAGCATGTTGGGGAAGCCCCACTAGCGCTTCACAGGCGGAGGTGCCCGAGGGCGCGGCCGTGCCTGAGCTGGTGAAGCTCCGGCAGGCACGGGACGAGAAGCTGGCAGCAGCAGCGGGCCCAAATGCTTTACTTCACACATCACAAAATGCTCGCAATCCACGTCTGTTTAAGGAGAAGAAGCAGGCGCTCGAAGAGAAGCAGAAGCAACGCCAGGAGCGACTCAAAATCATGTCATCTCCCATCTGCCAGCTGCTGTAAGAACCGTGGACTACTTGACACATGTCAACTCTTGCGGACCACAGGAAGAGCGGGCGAAGCTTAAAGAGCGGACTGAGGCTTACGAGAAGGACAGCTGTGGAAATTTGCATGGAGTCAGGAATGTCACATGTCCGACGTTTTAAAAGTTCTAATGTAGTGGTAGAACAGAACACGCTGCAACTGGATCCCGAGAATTGGAATGGGCAGCAGATTCCAGGAGTATGCAGACACTGCCTCGGAGCTTGTGAAGCTCCGCCGAGAAGCGAAGCTCAATGGAAACTTCTTCGTGGAGCCTGAGGCCTTGAGACCACGAAGAACTCTATGGCACTCCATGCGTTTTCTACCTGTTTTACGCCTGCGCAGGCGAAGCTGCTGTTCGTCGTCCGCATCGCAGGCATCATCAAGATGAGCCCAAAGCCCAGGCGGGGTGCGAAGAGCAGAAGTTTTGAGCATGTTTCTGTGCTTGTTGAAGCTGTTGAGACTTGTTGCGTTGGAGGAAGGTGCTCCAGCTGCTTCGACTGAAGCAGCTGCACAATGGCGTGTTCCTGAAGGCCAGTCCCCGGCTGCAGGGATGTTGCGGCTGCCGTCGCACCAAGCTGCACTTAGGTGAACAAGCCTATCCTGAACATGCTGAAGCTCGTGCAGCCGTACGTGACATACGGCTACCCGTCCCTCAAGACGGTGCGTGAGCTTGTCTACAAGCGTGGCTTCGGGAAGGCCCTCTCGTAGTTGTGTGACATTCTAGGCAAAAGACTGCCAAAAGCTCGCAGGTGAACAAGCAGCGCCTACCCCTTGCGTCCAACGACATCATCTCGGACAACTTGGGCAAGCGCCGGGCTCGGTGACGGGGCTCGCAGCATGCGAATAAGTATACACAATGCATCCATCTCCAGGTATGGCATCCACGGAATGGAGGACATCATCCATGAGATTTACACGGTTGGCCCCAGCTTCAAGCAGGTGGGATTCCCTGTGCTGAGATGTGCGAAGCCACTTAAGCTTGCTTGCTTGATGATGCCAAGGGAGTTGTATCCCCTCTGTCTGCAGGCCTCCAACTTCTTGTGGCCATTCAAGCTGAGCTCGCCCAAGGGTGGATTCATCAACAAGCGCTCGGATCTTACAGATGCCATGCTGCAGCAGACTTTGCTGCGTACTGTAGTCGGTATGCTGGCGGAGGTCACGGCTTTTGCGAAGCACGCGGAGGTGACTGGGGAAATCGGGAGGACAGCTTTTGTACTGACAAGCGATGGGGCAGGCAGGGAGGCAGCTTGAGTGCAGGAGCTGATCAACGACCTCTTGAAGCGCATGAACTGAGCTTTGACCTTGGAGCCACCCCCGTCGCTGGAGATCAAAAGAGTACAGCCAGAGTTCAGCGGGATGAAGGAAGAGGCCGATCCCCTACATTTAGCGACCAAATGCTGCACCCGGTTGGTATTGGTGATATCATTCATCACGAAAGCTAGCTCCCTTGCAGCGTTCAAGAGCTGCCGTCTACCAATCACTCCCGCAAGTGTTCAGGTGGATCAAGCAGCCAAAAAGCTTGCTTGTTGGAACATTCCCGAATGCTTTGGTGGAGCTCTCAACTCTACTGGCTCCTCGGATGTTCCTAGCACACCCACCTCCTGAAGAGATTGTATCATGCATGGGGGTGAGGGATTAGCAGGATCCAGGTTTGCGAGTTTGGACGTTCAGGGTAGTCTTCTTGCGACGGGCATCAGTAGGAGGACAAGTGTGCCGAAGGCAAGGGCTGGGAATACTTGCTTGCTGCTTGGCAGCCATGAGGCTTTATGCAATCGAAGTGATGCATGTGTTTGCATGTCATTAGTGAGTGATTCGTGCAATCTGTTGGGTGAATGCTCGTGTGCAAATTAAGGTGTTTTACCACGCAGTTATTCATTGAATTGTGTGATACCTGGAGCGTAGTTCTAATCTTGCAGCTCGATGAGTGATTCCGGCGCCCCCCGACGTTTCGGTGCGACAGCTCCAAACTTCCTCAGCGGACTCCAAGATGTTGCAATCGCAAGGATCTTATTTGGCATTGGTGCGATGGACTCTTGAAATCCGGTTTTTGCCTGACGTTCATGGCATGCACTTCTCAGGCCGCGCAGCATTATCCCGCAGGTTCGTCTGCTGGCATTCCAATGCCAGACGAGGCAAGAAGCCACAACCTTTGGGCCACTTGTCTGGGTTTATTGCGCTGGCTGCCTAGTTGCTGGACATGTTTGAGCAGTGGATACCCGAGGAACGCAGTCAAGCGCTGCATGGCTTGAATTTGTTGTTGCCTGTGATTTGTTCTTGAGCTTTCAATTGTTGGCTGTAAGCGCACCACCAAACAAGGAATGTGACGAGCCAGAGTTGGCAGCATCCGGTGGTTGAGCAGGCAGTTCCCAGAAGAGACGGATAGCCTATGAGGATTTTTCTGTGCACCTTCTTCTGGGTCCTGACAGTGTTGCTAGCCCAGCGCAACATTCATCAAGCTGGAATGAGCAGTTCAGCACGGCGACGGCGACAGCGACTTCGACCACGGCGACAACGTCGGCGAAAGCGAAACGGCGACGGCGAAACGACGACCACGACGACCACGACGACCACGACGACCACAGAAGTAGCAACAACAGCAACAACAGCAACAACAGCAACAACAGCAACAACAGCAACAACAGCAACAACAGCAACAACAGCAACAACAGCAACAACAGCAACAACAGCAGCAACAGCAACAACAGCAACAACATCAACTCAGCAACAGCAGCAACAGCAGCAACAGCAGCAGCACCAACAACAGCAACAGCAGCAACAACAGCAGCAACAGCAACAACAACAACAACAACAACAACATCAACAACAGGATCAACAACAGGATCAACACCAGGATCAACAACAGAAACAACAGCAGGAACAACAACAGGAACAACAACAGGAACAGGTCCGGCAAAGGGCAAGAACTCATCGAACAAGAGGCAGAGAAACCGCAAACAGTGATTCGCGGGAATAGGTTCATAGATGTACATGTGTAATCTTTGCATGTAGCTTCTGGCTTTATTTAGGCCGACCCTGAACTGAACAGCCCATGTCAGGTGCTCGCAATGGCACTGAACAGCAGCCGGACACGTGAACAACAACAGTGTGCGACCGAGATCAGATTTAACGCAAGTATCTGGGTTCAAGATAAGTATAGAGAAGTATAGAGAAGTATAGAGAAGTATAGAGAAGTATAGAGAAGTATAGAGAAGTATAGACAAAGTATAGATAAGTCTATTCAAGAGGGCTTGCTGCAGATCCGACCGAGGATGGCGCTGCTTCATGATTCTCAGGACTGTTCCAGCTGTCTCATCGGTTTGCTGAAGTCCTTGTGGTCCCCCGAAACCCTAAACCCTAAACCCTAAACCCTAACACCTGGCTAAGTCGGCTCATGGCAGGAGACTCTCCTAACAATGCAGTACCTTCAGCAAATGCAGCAGCTTCAACATACGTCCGACCCCAAGATGCCTCTTTCAAAGGCAGATTGAGACTCAGAGCTTGTTAACCCACAGAGCCCAATACCCCTTAATTAATGGAATAGAGCTGAACTTATAACGGGATCCTTATGATGATTTACGGAATATTCCTTAATTAAGGGGTATTGGGCTCTTTGGGAATTTAAAGCCTAAACCCTAAACCCTACATCAAAAGGCAGGGCCAGATGAATCAGCTGCTGCTGAATATACAGAATCTGGAGAAGTGCCTCGGCTGTAGCGTCGTAGTACCCAAGACGGTTTCGTGCGGAACAAAATGAACAGGGTTTAGGGTTTAGGGTTTAGGGTTTAGGGTTTAGGGTTTAGGGTTTAGGGTTTAGGGTTTAGGGTTTAGGGTTTAGGGTTTAGGGTTTAGGGCATCTGAGGACTTTGCACCACCACCGCGCGAATGAAGCCTACAGGGCCTCCGCCGTGACCCAGGCATTGAGGGTAGGTTCGCCACCGGCCGGTAACGTAGCCAGGAGGAGTTTTGCATGAGCTGTGTGATTTACCCCTGGGTTTAGGGTTTAGGGTTATTGTGAACCTGCCTGGCTTACCTGTCTCATGCTCTGGTGCCTCCGACACGGCTGATCGGGACACATGCAACCAACATCCCCACACGGAAGCCCCCCACTTAGACCTTTTCCTAGCAGCGCACACTTTCAATACAGAGGCACAGGCTTCGGACTCCGGAACTATTTGGTGACTTAAGCATTTCCGGGAGGTTTTCAACGGAACCATTCCGGATCCATAAGGCTTGAAGATGGGCGGGTTCACTAGTCCAACTCTCAGTGACATTTGTTTGGACCGGCGTGAACAGCCAGGTGCAACAATGGCAAGCGCCAGATTTTTCGTCTTTTCCATCGCATGGTCATGGTCCCCCACCTGGCCTGGACCGGCCTGGTTCACAGACCGCGACGAATTTCTGCGATCGACATGGCTCACGTTGGCGGAACTGACGTGTCGAGGTCCGACCTCAACTTTCAAGCCGCCCGTGCGTCCCTGGCCAATGATGGTCCGCGACTCAACTAACCCAGTCAGTGACAGTCAGTATGCCAACCCTAAACCCTAAGGCCTAAGCCCTAGGCCCTAGACGCTAAACCCAAAACCCTAAACCTAATTTACGCTGTGTATGCCCATGAGCCCGCAGGGCAGCTTGGTGTGCCTGTTGGCTCCGTAGCCACGGGAAGCCATCGTTCAGGTTCGCTGCGTTTTCTTGCTCTTGTGGAAAATTTGCGGTTTAGTTCGGGTTTAGGGTTTAGTTGGGGTTCAGGGTTTACAGGGTTTAGGGTTTAAGGGTTTATAGGGTTTTTAGGGTTTAGGGTTTCGGGTTTAGGGTTTAGGGTTTAGGGTTTAGGGCACTTAGCTGAGCCTCTCTTGCAGGTTACGACCTTGTTGCTGGACAAGTCTGCAACTAAGTATCCCAGACCATGCCCATACACAGTGCTCAACGTTTGTTGAGAACCGTCAGGCTTGCATCCTAAAGGCAGAATGCGCAGTGCTTGTCCTTTTGCACAGCATCTTTCAGACTTGCGTGGCTGACTGGAGCTACTTGGAAGCGCTGTGAGCTTTTCCCGCTGTCCAAGGCACAGGCACGAACGAATGTTCGGAAGAAGAACGTTCAAACTAGAGGCCGAGAGCTTTGCGGTTTCGATGCAGTTTTTGCATCTTGCCTCGGGCAAAGGTCGGTATGTGGCGCAGGAGGCCATGACTTGTGCACTCTCAGAGCTTTGTGGCTTGTGGAACTTTTGTGTCATCCGACCCAGGAAGCACAATCGTCATTTCCGCCAGGGATCTCGAATGATCGGGCCATCATCCCAGTGCTGCTTTGAGTTTGTGCCCGGGTTTAGGGTTTAGGGTGCCTGCGCCTTTTGCAAGATGCAGGACAAGAAGAGCACCTTAGGAACGCACTTGACGCAGCTCCAGAGCGAGAACCCGAGGTGCCCGGGAAGGCTGTCACGCATGAGATGCCTTCCGCGCTCGCACGTTGCCAGGTGTGTGTTCATCACGTCCGAAGCCAAGTGTTCCATGGTCCTTGTAGTTGCAACATGAGGAGCGGAATGGAGGAAGGGCCAATCTGATGTGTTAGTAAGGCGAAAGATCAACGGTATGGGCTTTCAATCAAAGGTGGGTTTTGCTTTGTGTGCGTTTTCGCATGGCATCAACCTGGGACTGCTTTCTAAGTAGCCTTTACCCGTATGAAAAGTCGTGCGCCCCCGTGCTGTGAGGAAGTGCTGGGCTCTTTCTACGGACAGTACGGCAAGGTGGTGGAGGTGCTCGTCGCTCACTCGAGGGCTTGGGACCCTAGATGACCGTGAGTATCTCAAGACTCTGCTGAGGCAGCTGTTGTTGAAGGAAGGCCCCTTTTGCCGACACTTTGGAAACAACTCTAGGCCGTCAAATGCAGACGCATGAGTACCCTAAACCCTAAACCCTAAACCCTAAACCCTAAACCCTAAACCCTAAACCCTAAACCCTAAACCCTAAACCCTAAACCCTAAACCCTAAACCCTAAACCCTAAAGGTCAAGTCGCTTCGTGGCCATGATGCGCAATCACGAACTCGGCCTGGCAGCTGGAATCTCAGCAGCTACGAGGGTGATATTCGGTGCCAGTCGCCTTTGTCTCGTTTACCAGCTCAAGAGTTTATGGTTTAGGGTTTAGGGTTTAGGGTTTAGGGTTTAGGGTGTAGGGTTTAGGGTTTAGGGTTTAGGGTTTGGTGGTTGGCATGCTTCTCAGGTTTGGCTTTCGTCGTCATGGACTCGCCAGAAGTTGCCCTTGTCTCGGGTCCATGTCAGGATAGGCGAGGCAGTTGCAATGCAACGGCATGCTATGCTATTTGCCTAAGCCCTAAACCCTAAACCCTACACCGGCCCTACACCCTCAATCTAAAGGGGCTGTCGCCCACAGCCGGGAGCGCCCCGTGCCGACCAGGGGAGCAACAGCCAGAGCAACAACAACCAGGAACAGCAAGAGCAAGACCCACGACGGCGACGGCGGCGGCGGCGGCGACGGCGGCGGAAGCAGCAGCAGCAACAACAACAGCAGGAAGAGCAAGAGCAACAGCAAGAGCAACAGCAAGAGCAACAGCAAGAGCAGCAGCAAGAGCAACAGCAAGAGCAGCAGCAAGAGGAACAGCAAGAGCAACAGCAAGAGCAACAGCAAGAGCAACAGCAACAACAACAACAACAGCAACAAAAGCACAGGAGCCACTGGAGAGGACGGACTGTATACAGGCTTGAACTGCTCCCTTTTCGTTCTCGCGAGCCCGCGCCCACGCACACCCCCGCGCGCGTGTGCGCCAGAATGATAGCCTTTTCGGCACGTGCGCGTGCGTGCACGCACGCGAGGCCCGGGTGCCGTTCTGCATGTGGCAATGCTTCCCAGGCTGCGTTGTACAAGGCCCTGCCGCGGCCCTCAGCCCCCCACCCTCCCCCGCAAGGGTCCCGCTGATGCTGCTGATGCGCGTCCCGGATTCCCGAGGAGGTATGAAGCTTCAATGTACCCCGCCCGCAACCGCGCATCATGAGCATCAGCAGCTCCGGCCTCCAAGCATTGGCGGCTTGCGCGGCTTGAAAACGGAAATGTCCATCACAGCACGAAAGCCACGGTATTTGCAGCGAATATTGCGTTTTCCAAGCTCCCAGCCGCATCCGAAACCCGAGGCCCGACCCGCTGATGCTCATGATGCGCGCTCTTTTTGTGGTCAGGTGGGGTGGCCGGTGCCCCCCAACAAGCATCAAGTCTTCACACGCTACGCCCTAGACCCGAAACCCTAAACCGCATGTAAAATAAATTGCGTGAGGCCGGAGCCAGGGTAACTGCCGTCACTTTTTGGGCTTGGTTTGCTGTTCACAGCCGAAAAGTGCAGACAGTTTACGAGGTCTCTGGGTGCCGCCAGCCTCGTGACTGTCGTCACTGTTTAAGCTTCGTCTTGAGAAAAGTGCAGACAGTCGCGAGGACGAGAAACCCGGGCGGCGCCATCTCCGTAATTTTCATTACATTCTAAGCTTGTTTTTGTTGATCGCGGCTCAAAGGGCAGACAGTCACGAGGATGAGTGGAGGGCGCCACACTCGTGGCTGCCATCATTTTTTCCAACTTGGTTTGTTGTTCACGGCTCCTGAATCTAGGTTTTGCTTCTCGGGGGGGGGGGGGGGGGTGAATGGTGAACACCTGCAAAGTGTTCCTATTCCCGTGGTGAATACCTAAGGTTTTGTTATGGGGGGGTCAGTGTGAATACCTACAACGCGTTCCTGATTCCAGGTTTTGCCTATCGCGGGTGAGTGGTAAACACCTGTCAAAAGTGTTCCTGATTCCGTGCGGTGAATATCTACAACGTGTTCACGATTCCATGTTTTGCTTGTCGGGACGTGCGTGGTAAATACCTACTGTGCACACTGTTCCTCGGGTGGAACGCATGGAGCAAGCTTTGGGCCCTACAGGAAGCAACCCCCCTTTGACAGCAGCCTGCAACTAGGATAGCCGTGGCCGTCCAACACATCCAGCAACTGACCTCCCTAATCAGAAAGGCGGAAAGGAGTCTCTGCTTCACCCAAAGAGCCCAATACCTCTTAATTAAGGAATATTCCTTAAATCATAATCAGGATCCCTTTGTAATTTAAGCCATGTTCCTTAATTAAGGGGTATTGGGCTCTCTGGGCACCTGCAGCAGGCAAACCCAGGCCGATGCGAACCATGCAAAGTCGTCCCTGTTCACGAACCCACCTGCTATGGAACGTTAGCGTGCGCAAGTGTGCTATGGCATAGACTCTCTCAATACGTGTGTGCATGGGGCACATGCATGTGCTTGTTTGTTTTTACAATGTGGTGCTTTCTACGAAAATTTAGCAGTGATCCTTGATGCTGCCCCCAGGTTGCGAAGATTTTGGCGGTTGGTGAGTACCAAAGGGTGGACGGCCACATGATCAGCCCGCCACCTTATGTTCATTTTTCTTGTGGAGCATGATGCGGCGTTTGGTTGTCCGGACAAGCGTCCGAACTGAGTTGGCAGGAGTGGAGCCGTTTCAGCGGGTCACCAAGCCCGAGGATGGTCAATCTGTTTTTTTTTTTTTTTTTTTTTTGCCTGGATTGTTAATTTGTAGCAGTGGCACAGCCTGCCAGCCACTCGACTTGTCCCCCCCCCCCCTCCCCCTCCCTCCTCGCCCTTTAGCAGCTCGCTGCGAAAGGCGGGCTCCACTGCAACAAGCGGAGGCTCAACGACGACAGGGTCAGGTGGAGCCCCAAATGTGCTCACATGGCTCGTTTTGCACAGTGAACGCATGGTTCCTAGCATGAGGCAGCACTACAGTGAGTTTTCTCATCTGTTTGGATGTTTTCAGGCTCTCGCTCTGGAGGGTCAGGCTCTGACAAGAGCTCAACCGGCAGTGCCAACGGCCTGGGTGACCCCAACGGCTCCGACAAGAGCTCGGCGGGCAGTGCCAATGGCATGGGCGAGGAAGGCTCCGACAAAGGCAGGGTTTAGGGGTTTAGGGGTTTTAGGGGTTTTGGGGGTTTTGGGGGCTTTAGGGGCTTTAGGGGCTTTAGGGGTTTTAGGGGTTTTAGGGGTTAAGGGATAGTTACTGGTAAGGGTTTTTAGGGGTTTTAGGGGTGTTAATTCGGGCTTTTAGGGGTTTCAGGGGTCAGCCCATGCAGCTTGTATGTGGAAGGGAGCTGCACACGCACATGGTTCCAGGCAATGGTTCTTCGGCGGATGGAGCGCAGCCAAAGGCCGAGACTGCAAGTGGCTTTGCTTTGCCCAACGAAAAAGTCAGAGTTTGAGTCAAAAATCTAGGCAAACATATGACTTGAGCCGCTTGAAAAGCCTTCCAGTGGAGCCTTCCAGGGGAGCCAGGGGAGTTCCGAAGATTCGAACCCTGGAGAAGACACCGGGTCCGAATCCAGCAACAGGGGGGCGCGGGGAGCCCAGCTGAGTCGAGAGAAGGGTTTAGGGTTTAGGGTTCAGGGTTCAGGGTTTAGGGTTTAGGGTTTAGGGTTTAGGGTTTAGGGCCTGCGTTT